TTTACCTATATTATACATGTAAAATGTGCTATAATTATATTAGCGGGATAATTTTATTTGGATGCGAGGCTAGTTTGAAATTTCTGTGTACAGTTACAGAGAACTTTTTGTTGATTGTACTTATAAAAGTTGTCCAAAATATTTCAAACAACTCTAAACCATACATGGCCTTAAGAATAGACATTATATTCCATCAGTCTTTTGTTTGTTATCGTCAAAATCAGAGGCTTATTACATTAAAATGTTTTCCTTACGTAATGAAAGTTGCAAGAAGTTTAACCTGACCTTGAACATTAACACCATTCATCTAGATTTTGAAGAACGAATACATAAAACAGCAAGAGGCAAGTTTCCAAACGTCGGCATTAAGTCTTGTAGATTCCATCTAGGTCGGGCTTGGTGGAGGAAAATACAGAATTTGGGTCTTGCAAAAGAATACCAAAAAAATGGAACTGACGTTAGTAAATGGCTAAATGTATAAAGGAGGAGGGAAGTCAATCATTTAGTAGAAATATATAAGTAAAAATGAATAAATTGATAAAATTGGCGCAATTGTATGATTGCTTTATTGGCGCAAATGAAACCTATAGTTTCCAAAATGAAGTGGCGCAGATCAGCATTGGAGCAATTAAGTTGTGGCGCAAATAATTTCATTTTTGGCGCCAATAGATATCGGCCGGTGTTATAGCTACACGTACCGTAACCTCCCACTTGTATGACAGTTGTTTATAGTTCCGTGTCTTCATAAATATTGAATTCCACAAGCTTTTTTCAAAATTTACAAAAAACAAATTTCGATAGCACTCTAAACTGTCCGATATGATACAACCAAGGGCGCTAAAAAGTTGCGTTAAACACCAAAACACAAAACTAACAAAAATTTCGATTTGATTTTAAAAGACATAAATAGCGTCCCGAATCGACAACGTTGAAAACGTAAGAAAATCGTTCAGTGGACAAACTTGCAAGACATTGGATTTGCTTATAAACGAAATCGTTTTGACTACGCAAATTATCAAAATGTATGTAACTGTTTTGTAGACCTAAAGAACAATTACGGAAAAGCACTATATTGTATGCAACAAATCGAAATTTTTAATAAAGGACGTCGCAACTGACAGTTTACATGTAAAAAGCGGCGAAATTCAACATTTGACATTCTTGCAAGACATTTGTCAGAAGTCGTTGCATTTTTTTATGGTGTGAGTGCTGTAAAAATTTGGTTTTGAAATGGTCTATCTCTGTACTTTTGTGAGCATGATTTATATAAACGAAATTTCATGTAATATTATATTTTAAGAACCTATAAATTTTGACATCTTACCATTTTCTGAAATCTGACCACGATGAAGACTATTTATTTTTGTAAAAAATTAGCTTTGGCCTTTCCATCAACGCAAATTCAGTAACTACGTAATACATATCATTCATGCGAATTTTCGCGGATTTAATACTGTTTCGAAGAGCACAAACACCCCTATAAAAGTTATTATGCATATAGTCTGTTACGTTTGACATGCATATTTTTGACGTTTTGCCAATATTTTTGTCCTTATTTTAGACTATTGTATAATATTATAAAACAATTTGTTGATTTTTTTGGAAACAGTAATACCTGCCTAGTCTATGGATATAAATTTTATATAGCTTAACTGTTTTAATTTTATAGAAAAGCTGTTTATCAGTGTGGACTGGTTGATTTCACGGTATTGACGCAATAACGTGCGTAACGTCCTAAGAATCAGGCAGTGATGATAACATGGCAAATAAAAACCCACTCAATTAATTTATGTTCAAAATGTAGAATGGTGCACGAATATAACATTTGTTTCCTTTTCCTGTTCTGGTAATTCAAAGTATAATTTGGTTGAAATGCGCTAGAAATTAACAATTAAGGGGAGCTAACTCCGTAATTTGCTATCATTCTAACCAAAAGTTATCTTGAATAACCAGACACGCAGAAATGAAAGACCCACCATATCTAACTCAGGATGAAGCTAACATCAAAATAGGTTTTTTTTCGGCCATGTTTTGATTTTTTTTTAAATTGTCTGATTCTTATAAAGACTGGCACTTAAATAATATTTAACGTGTTTAAATTTTCACGTTCTTGCAAATAGCAAATTATTCATGAATTTATCTTCAATAATGTTAGTTAAAAAGTTCACTATCTAAAATAATCAACACCCAATCAATCAAATTGACTTATGAGACACTTGAAAAAATATATTACAAAGTGAGAGTATTGCTGGCAAGAGGTTTAAACGTCTATCTTCATACCGAGTCTTAATGCCTTTAGAGAGCTATTATTCCGCCTGTAAACAAAATGACACAATACAACACAAGCGAAGGATTAATGCCAGACTTAATTATTACCACAAGTTATCTATTGTTTAATTACTAGTTACATTAATTTGTATAATTATAATACGTGTCAAATTTTGCAGTATTATTATGAAAGCATTACTTTCCTCGTAATCAAATTATAACGATATATACCACCTATTGAGGAAATGTGTATCGCATGTCCAGAAAAACCGCATGCAATAAGATCCTGTGGGAAACCGACTATATAATTTGTAATAAAATATATAACTATAGTTGTATCACATATGAAGGTTAACTTGGTTAAGACATCTTTATAATAATATCAGATTCATTCGTGTTGATAGTTGTGTGAAAAATCTTTGGTTTATTTTTTTAATTTCTGTTTGACCGATATTATTTTGGTTTCGTAGAGACCAATGTTGACAAGAAAAAAACACCCTTTGACTTTGACCGAATCGTTTGTATAATGATGTCATAGAAGTCCTTCTCAGAATAATGTTTAAAGTAGTGCAACATTCCTCTTTCGGTATTCATAAGTGATATTCCTTGAAGGTTATGCATTATAACTGAAAAGGTTTATTCCTTGAGATAATAGTTATTTTGAAACATCCACCATTACAGGTATCAAAATCTCTGTTCATGCTTTTTCGTTTTGTGACCTTCAAAGGCTAATATATATATTCAACAACATTTTATTCAGACTTTTATTACATTAAACATTAACAAACAAACCAAATATTGAATATCTTTAAATATTTTAATGCTTAATGTTTCAATTCTTTATGCGCATTAATTTTTCATCTATAATCAAAAACTTCTCAAATAGCCCGTTGATTATGTATAACATATTCAACACTATATCAAAACCATATCAAACTAACTGTATCCCGTCTTTGTTCGTACTCAGCTAGAAGTGACTAAATGGTAACACTAACTACCACACTTCACCAGACGTGTAAAGCAAGACGAATCCAAACTCATGATAAAATTTAAACATCTACTATTTTGTTATGAGAAAATTAAAATACAATTGTTTATTGAAATATTCCAAATTTGACACTTGAACACACATGTTATTTTAACATTTGCTAATATGTTCACCTGAAACTTACCGATGCCATATAACTCTTCTGCATGATGATCTCTAGTTGAATAGATATATAAATTGTGCCAGCATCAATTACTTTTTTTATAAGGTATTATATACTAGACTTTATTAACAATCAAGACAAGGTGAATTAATTACCAACTCAAGACGAGATTAAGCATGTATCAGCACATGCAGTAGCACGTCTCTTCTCCCCTGGCTTCTGTCGAATTTTCTGTATAGACATACTCTTTTGTTTGCTTGCTACAGCCTTAAAAAAGAAGAATACAACCATCAAAAGAGATTTTTTTTAGATATAGCACAGCTTTGGTAAATCAAAATGTTTCTACATAAAATGGGAAAATAATTACCCTTAATAGATGTTTATACGCGATCAGCAGCATAAAGTTGTCCTTAATATTTTCCTAATTACCAATTTGTGATAAAGCTACATATCGGAAGATTGAAAATACTATCTGCTGTCTTCAAAGAATCTGACTAATTGGATACATGCAATGTAAGTCATGAAAATGCAGATCTTTATGATCCTTTCACTCGATTTTACGTCTTAGCGGAGATTTCACACTTAATTAGTCATTAATCGTTGGATGAACAAAATGAGCATCCAAAGTCGCGTGCAGAAGTGCATTCCGAACGGATGCTCAAGCTGATTAGACGTGAAGTGTCCAACATGAATAATTTATAACCTATAAATTATCACCTCAGTTTCGAACTTTTTTCACACATTGTATGTATATCATTTTTTTCAGGAAGAGTGAGCTCGGCATTGTATACAAAAACACATTTTGAAAAAACGCCATCAAATATTCTTTGTCTCAATAAATATTTTATAAGGAAATGTTGGAATTTTAGAAGTAAACGGAAAAAATTCTTAGAACCACAGGAAATATAAATATCTCATGTGATCTAATATGTATATTTTATGGTATTGTTTCACAGCATTTTCCATTTCTTTTACTCCTAAGAGATGTTTGAAACAACTTGAAAAATTTAAATTATGCATCTTGCTGACAAGGTTCGTTCGTTTAAAAGGTTGTGATAATTTTCAAGTTTTAAAATAAAATTTTAAGATAAAACTGGAAATAACAAAAATATATAAAAGTTATCCTATATAATGCACGTACATATTTATGTTCATTAAATATCATTTTATTTCGACAGAATACTTTTTAATTTCCATGTTGAATTGTGAGGGAATCAATAGAGCATTGAACGCCCCAGTGAAGGCAAAATTTAAAATTACAACAATTAGAACGTTTTAGAAAATTGTTCAATGCACGCAAACATTTAAATAAAAATACTGCGAAAATCATACAAATGTAAAAACGGGCCAATAAACTGATATTTATAGACAATTATTATAAGCAAAGATTTTAGTATAATAACGTGGTGAATATAAAAGAAAATAAGTGTAGTCAGTCAAAAACATACAAAACGACATTTCCTTTCCATTATACTATAATGCACCTTTTAATGAATAGTGAATCGATAAAGCTGATTGGACACCGGATGTATGAGGGGCGGAGCTAAGTGATATGCATTGATTTTGATTGTAAATACAGGTAGAACATTCAATAGAAGTAGTATCATGCGTCGATACAGAGGACAACAAGCGAAGATTTGATGAATACTGAGTTTATTTATTTTTCTACCGACAGTACATCGAGTTTTAATTTTAAAGGGACCTATGTGATTTTAAAGTTGAAAGCCGTTCTATAAACAATTCATTGTCGGTATCAAATTCTACAAGAAGAAATGTGGGGAAAATCCTCGGATTAAAAAGTAAAAAGGATTATCTAGTATATAATATGATTAAGACTTTGGATTATCCGACTGTTGATTATTGACAAAGTGTTTTATCTGAAAAGTAAATATAATTTACAGAGAAAATGAGAATTGTCAGTTTGTACCTGTGAAACGCATAAGTGGCAAAACGATAACATGGTAACATCTGAAGAGACGATCATGTAAGTTAACGATGTCTTCCAAATGTTTATCAGTATTACTAACTGTGTTAATCATATCAAACTGTAATGGAATACCTGTCAACTACGCTATTGAAGAGGAAAAGGGACCAGATTATTATTTAGGGAAAATTTCGGACGGCGCTAACCTGAGAAGTTCACCTGAAATAACAAGCGATGCCGAATTTGAATCTTTACGGTATAATTTACTTAGTAGCGGCAATCCTGATGCTCAGTTTTTCACAGTAAATGAAAGAACAAGTGATCTGTATACAACAAAGACAATAGACAGAGACGAATTATGTAGATTTTCCGACACTTGTATATTACAGTTTGAGATAGCCGCCGATACCTCTGCTAGCGATTTCTTTACAAAAATCAACATCATCGTAAATATCCTTGACATTAATGACAATGAACCATCTTTTCCCTCAGAGGTAGTGAATCTTTCACTTTCGGAAGCCACAGTGTTAGGTACTTCAGCTTGGAAAGAAGGTGCCGATGATAGAGATCATGGAACATTTTCAGTTCAGCAGTATCAATTGTTACCCACCGACACGCCTTTTGCAATTGAAACAGAATTTTACGCAGATGGACGCACCCAGGTAACGCTTAAAGTTAATCAAAATCTCGACAGAGAAATAAACAGCTCATTCACATTGACTATCATGGCAGTAGATGGTGGTGTTCCGCCTAAATCGGGTTCAGTTACTATAAATGTTCAAATAAACGATATTAATGACAACGCACCAAAATTCGCAAAATCTATTTATAACATCACTATCAACGAGGATCTCCCTGAAAACACCGTTATTCTCAAAGTGCACGCTGACGACCAGGATGAAGGATTAAATGGCGAAGTTACATATAAGTTGAGTACTTTGCAATCAGCAGACATTTTTAGATTGTTTAGGATTGACTTACAAACGGGTGATATACGTATTACGCAATCATTGACTCAGGAAGAAAGCAAACAGTTTAAAATCATTGTGGAAGCCACCGACAAAGCACCATCGCCATTAACATCGCAGACTCAGGTTATAGTACATGTTCTTGACACCCATAATACAGCACCGGAAGTTACGGTTACAACAATATCGTCGAAAATCAACGATGAATATGTTGAATTTTCCGAAAATACTAACATTGGAATTACTATGGCAATAGTTTTAGTTACTGATCATGATAGTGGCTACAATGGTGCTGTGACATGTACGCTTAACGACGACCATTTCTATTTAAAATCTGAAGGAGACAACGAATATAATATAGTATTGGGGAATAGTTTGGATCGGGAAATTAATGAATGGCATGAAATAGTCACCACGTGTAGTGACGCTGGTTCACCGAGACTTAGTTCGTCTGGCAGTTTTCGTCTGCACGTGCTTGATGTTAATGATGTTCCACCTGTCTTTACACAAGTTTTGTATAAAATCAACGTTGAAGAAAATGGACCAAAAAGTGTAAGTGTAGTTCAGGTTCATGCAAACGACAATGACGCCACCGCAGAACAGAACGTTCTGTACAGCTTAGAGCTGGCAGAGGATTACAAAGATATATTCAGTATAGATAGTACGAATGGCCTTATTTACGTTGAGCAATCTTTAGACAGAGAAACCTATCCAAGTATTACTTTTAAAGTACTTGCTACGGATAATCAACCGCAACCTTTAACAGGAAGTGCTATGGTGGAAGTAACTGTTCTTGATGCCAATGACTATGACCCGGTTTTTACGCCATTAGAATTCCAATTTACGGTACCAGAAAATCGTCCACCAGATATTTCAGTTGGTCGTGTTTTGGCTGTTGATGCAGACAGTGGTATTAACGCAGAACTACAATACACATTATTGCCCATGAGCAGTGAAGCTCCACCCTTCAGAGTACTGTCAAATGGTACAATATTAACAACGATGTATTTTGACAGGGAAATGACAGCTCAGTATACATTTTCTGTGATGGCATCTGACAAAGGCTCGCCATCACGTAGTAGCACAGCAAAAGTTATTGTCAACGTCCATGATGAAAACGACAACCCTCCTATTTTTATTTTTCCTGGCAAAGAAACAGATGAAATAAGAGTTTCATACCAGTCCTTACCCAATACTGTTATAGCAACGATTCAAGCATACGACCCCGATACCAGCTTTAATTCTCATATTTCATATATTATGAATGGTTCTAATGTTTTAGAAAATTTCGAATTAAATACTCATACTGGACAGTTTTCGGTGATATCACAACTTGACCAGTCAGACATTGGGACATATGATCTCATTTTAACTGCGGTAGACGACGGCGAACAAGAGCATCAACGAAGTGTAAAACTAGTTATAATTGATAAAGCTACCGTGGCGGCCAGTCAATCAGAAAGCGAGATAAAATATTTTGCTATTGCAGTTGCGATATCTTGTATAACTATAGTTTTATCAGTTTTAATTGTTTTGGCGATTTGTTTGATCAAGCGTAAAGAACGTCAACATCACGAAAAGATAGCAGAGAGTGTAACAACTTGTTCGTCACTGGAGACGGACAGTGAAGGTTCCGATATTCGCTTCGGTGATGTTTGCACCCGAGGCATCCTGCACAAATCAAATACCAACTCCCTGAAGAGAAATGACCAGTCCAGTAAACCTAATCCTATAAAGAAACCATTCACAACAGTGGTGAGGATTAACTTTTATTTTTATTTCAAGTTTATAATCTTTATTAGAACTTACGTTTTTGTACGAGTTGTAACGCATTTGTTGATACAATAATAATCCCATGGAGTAAACTTGATCAAATTTATTGTGGGCTAGGACTTAACAACTTGTCACTTCTTATAATTCAGACAAATATTTTGAAATGAAACAAAATGTTTTGGGAAAAGATTTAAGTTTTTGAATAACATGTTTTTATAATGATTAATAGATCCAACTTATTGTCGTCTGAAATTGAAGAAAAACTTCATTTACAATAAAATTGATAATAATCAGATAATACATGTATGATTCATTATAAAACTGAGTAATAAATAAAGGATCAATAAGTCATTAAATTTACAATCCGACTTAAAAATTGAGGATTTTCGGAAGAGAAAAAATATCGAATGAGTGTGGTGCTATTTATTGCAATGAATAATAAATGAATTAATCGATTTTCGTTTAGAACATCTATTTAATGTTTATAAAGATAAGCGAAGAAGCTCATGGTTTTATGACATTTTATGCACTATGAAATTTTATCGATCACGAAAGGTTGTGTTTCTATCTGTTGCTAACATCACTGTAACAGATTTTTTTTAAATCACAGAACTGGTGAAACTTCAACAGAAACAAAAAATAAATTATATTAAATTTTGTACATTTGAGTTCAGTTAGAGATGCAAGCTTTCAGTAAAAACTATTCACACTTTTATTATATAAAAACTCAAGCTAAGGGGGAATATAATCATAATAAAAATATCCGTCACAGCCAGAAATAAAGAAAATAGATGAAAGACTAAAACGCTGAAATTGGTTTGGACTCCATATTTATTGACAAAATGAAGAAAAGACACAATTTGACTATTCTTAGTCTTTTCTGCAGTAGAAAATAAAAGCTCATTATAGAAATTATGTTCATAGCAGGGCGTTAATGATTTTTATAGAAAAATACAATTTACAATTGAAAATGCTTAGTATATGTTCAGGGTTGTTAAATGATTCAAACCCATTTCTCATAATTATTTATTGAAAAGTTATAGAATGAAACAGGACTGTAACAAGATAATATGTAATAGGATAGGTAAAATATACCCTAATTATTGAATTAAATCTTGCCTTGTCAACCTCTGTCAAAATTACTTGTATTTTACATATAATAAAGTGTTCAATCCCCAAATTTTCTGATCATTATTATGTATATTAATTACATATTGTCGCCATACAAAACATTTTCTTGTTACAAGATAACAGTTTGACAACTTGACAAAATGATTCTAGATAATTACATTATTTGACCAATTTCAACACATTTTTACGATAAGCACTACCTATACATGACTTTGTACCTATGGATTTCCCTTGTTATAAGTCCAACAAAATGTTTCATTATAGTTCACATATAATTTGCTTTCAAAATATAACTATGGCGCATTAATGCTACCTGAAGCTTAAAATATTCTCATAGTAAAATTTAATATACATGTATGTAATCCCAGATCTACACACTTGTTTTAAACTTCAAAATTTCACATCCAATCGCTCTATCATACCGGTATATAATAAAAGGATATATTGTATATATATAGTCTAAATTGAAAACAACGTTCAAACCTATGATTGCGTTGGATAAAAACCGCAATTTTTATACGTGTGCATGCAAAACAAATTTCTTGGTAGAGGGGGTCTAATTATGCACAAACAACATTTTCCAAAAGACCAAAATAGTGAAAAAGTATATTTTAACAAAACGCATTTGACTAGCAGGTCGAAAAACGGATGTTCTTAAACACTGCTGATTGCCAATTATTGAGTAGAAAATATTGACTTTTCCTAGAATATCCTAGTATTCCACCATTATAACAGAATGTATTACAATAATATAATATTTAAGGTATCTGTTGATGAAGTAATACCGGAAGTTATATCAGATTCTGTTGAAATCTGGGACTGGGCTGATAGTGAATACAGCAGGAACACAGGACAGTCGTTACCACATGACCTAGAACCCTTTTCTACATTTTCCAGTAAAACAAAGCAGAAGAATAAAGTTCATTGGCAGGCTAGTCAGTGCTAAGGTATGTATAATATATAAAATCTGCTTTGGTGTCTATCAAAATAATGGAGGCCGTTCCTCTGTGAAAACTTGCCTTTCAACCAAGTCTCGGTTTTCCTAGGAAAGTCCATGACGTAAATCATACCCCTCATCTTTTGTGAATTTTCTCGATTTGGATGATTATGGGTGGCTGTTTAACGACCAGCGTAAATCAAATGCACATTCAGGACGAGAACATTTTAATGTTATATGAAAGTTCACCCTACTTTGTACTAGACCCGGAGCTGAGCCGGATTTTTAACATGCTAGTTCAAAGGTGAGAGTCCGCAGAAAGACATGCCAACCTACCCAGACACATTATTCTGACCCCGAGTCGACTAGTCTTTGCTCTTACTCCTTAATGCCGCGTGCTTAGCGGAAAAGCAGCAAATAACAATTTTAAAGTCTTTGGTTTGACCCGGCCGGGGTAAGAACCCACAACTTTCCGCACTCGAAACAAGCACGTTACCGCGAAACTGAGGCGGTGAATTTCCTCGATACTTGCTCTGGTTTTTTTGGGGGGTCGAAGATATCAATAATAATCAAAGTAAATAAATATTAAGAAAATGTAAAAAATATTTGGCGCTGTAATTCTAACCCGTGGACAGATGCTAATTTTTTTAACAAAAGTTCCTGAAATGTCATCAGGTATATTTCTGCCTACTTTATTTTATTATTTAACGATCTATATTTGAACATTTGTATGTTTGAACAATTCGTCCGTTTAAAAACTTTACAAAAAGGTGATAGTCGATAACTTTACAAAAAAATGAAGTGGCAAAAAACCTAAAAGCGCAAACAATATACCCATTATTGTTATAAACAGGCATCTCTTGAAACACAATGCGAAAAAGGATTTGCTACCAATATAAATATAATGTCTCCGGTTTGTAAATTTACTTTGAAGTTCCTTAACTATTATGGTATAAAGAGAAATTCTGTTGATAAATACATCGACAAACAACCCCAGTATTAAGCGGCCATTAGGTGCATTGATTTCTACTCTAATGGCCACTGTTCCAGGATTTGTTGCAGGGATTTGTCTATTGACGAGAAAGGATGAGATTTGTTTACCTAACTATTCAGATATTTATGTTACAGTGTTAGTATTTGCTCACATTCAATCTATGCAATCGGTTTTCAAGATCGATTTAAAAATTTATATGAATAAATGCATATAACCATATAAATCTATTATATTAGGGAATATGTAGAACAATGTTTAGATATGTGCACAACATATATAATGATGGAAATGTGTTTACAGAACAATACTTTTAAACTGGCGATATAAATATGAATAACAAAACGATTTTTAAAGATAAATAAAAGTAGATGTGAGGTAAACGCCAGTGAGACAGAACCATTTATTGCATGTTATATGTTTTAACTATGATTAACATTGACGGATGATTATATATGGAACCCCGAGCAGTTAGAGAAATCGCATTGATGTAGTTGTAATCTCACAATTTCGTTTTGGCTAATTTCCGTGACGAACTGCGACGTAGTTTTATCTTTGTAACGCCCAATCTAAGTTGACTTTTTTTTTAAATACATAGCAAAAACAAAAACACTAGTTCGGTTTTTGGCAATTAATTTTGTGTTTTGGTGTGCCTTCATACGCAAGAATGGCTGATTGTTTTTCAATTCTTACTCCGTGTTTTGTTTTTTGAGTTTTTGTTGTTGTGTCGGGTGGAAAATAAATTATTGATATAATTTTGTAACTTTGTTGTCTGGTCTTTTGATCATGTTGTAAAAACTGTTATCAAGTTTGTTTGTGTTCTATAGTCAAACTAACGAACAAAATGAAAACTAAGCAATTAATGAGAAAATAGCAATAAGATGTACCGTTGTAACACAATTAATTCATTAGTTTGAATAGAGATTGCATCACCGTTATCAAGTTATTCGATAGAATATAATAATATAATGAAGTTTACCACAAGTATATTTTAGAACACCTGTGAAATAACAATAGTAATTTTCTGTCATTCATTTAACTCGTTGTAAATCTTGTTATGTTTATTTGTTTATTATAAATCTATACAACTGCATTTTGTAATTCAAGTACACAAATTGATTTTGATGGAGATCCATTGTTCATTTGTGCCATTAATACATTTTATCAATAACCCCCTAAAAACTATATAAAATCAACCCACTCAAAACATTGAAGTTCAAAAAGAGTTACAAAGGCCATATATATATATACTGCTTTCCTCGATATGTGATCTACGACACAGGAAATTTCTAGAATGATATAGTACATGAGAGTTGCGAATTTGTTCTTTAATGTTAAGTGTTGTTGTGTGTAAAAGGTCTCATTTTGTACAAATGAATCGACAACTTGATATACCAATATTATGTAATTAGTCTCTCCCTCTGTCTGTGTCACTCAGCTCGACATAAAATTGCCGATAGGACCTTTCCTATTGGAAGAAGTTCTATTGGCATAGATTCATACATACTGCATGGCCGTGACCAGTTTTAGACTCTTACATTATAATCTATTAAACGATACTAATGTCTCTTCTTTTTACGCATCCAAAACAACTGCTACATTTAAAAACTTTTCTGACTGTTCTTCCGATGGATATATTTATCATATGATATTAGACTACAGTACAATATGAAATGTTTATCCGTACGTCTAGTTGGAGTGTCATGGGTTTGTTCTTTTATTTCCCTCCAAATTTGGCATCTTTGATGTGAAATGTATATGCTTCCCCTGAAAAAAATCTTTCAGCATATAAAACCATATACGGCATAGCGGAACCCTCAGAACCCCTAGAAATATCAACCAATGTTATATAAAATAATTGCTGCAGATCGACTGATATTAATCTATAATATTTGTTTCTAAACTGCCCAACATTTGGCATTTTGATAAGCGAACCAATTTGGTGATTTTATGCTTTATAAATTGACTATCGACCATCGTATTTATGGAAACTTGATGATAGTAAAGATCCTGAGACCAAGTTTTACTACAATATTTCTAATGATTTTAACACTGGGAAAGGGATAAACAGGAACAACCAGAAATAGCAACCATTCACTTTTCCCATGAAAAGAAAATTTTAATGACTTGGGTTGAAGTGATAATAACGATGGCTCATAGTAAAATCGATCTTAACGATGTTTTATTTTATATTAATGATGGAAAAATTTATAGAAATATTCACCGATCCTCATCATCTACAAAATAATGTTTCTTTTTTATCCTTTTATGAATAGTGTTTTATCACGATGTTTGATCTTTAACTTTATCCCAAAAGTTATTAATTGGCATAAAGATGAAGATTTGCTGTTGATAGGTGTACTTTGACCGACGCCAGACTGTAAGATAGTAGACTGTTATGGTCACTTTATTTATAAAAATGTTTATTTGAGGAAATGGTACTTCGAATAAGATAAGACAAACTATCCACTCTTTTGTGTGACAAAAATTACTGGAAGACCCCTTAACCTTTTAACAGATTTAAGAGGGGACTTTAAAATAAAAATAAAATAATATTTCATCATGCATTTAGGGATATACTTATATAGTTTACTTTTTTAACAAATATGGAGAAAACATTGACCAAGCCTCATTTGACGCCAATATTCAAATTAAAAACTCGAAGGAAAGTCATTTTTCATTTTGAAGTTTATTGACGCTAAACGTCAAAAGTTAATCCTGTAAAATTTGGTTTTGAATGCATACAGAATTAATATTGCCTTGATCTTAGAGGTCCTGTTTAAACCTTATCGACACGCTATCTTAATGAAAGTGACTTTTTCAAGTCTTTACTAAATTTCCCTTTTATGTTTATCAAGGCGAACCAAGGTAATTACCAATTTGACGATATCACTTTTAAATTTTACACAAATCAATACAAACATATTTCATATTTTTTCATTTAATTCTATTTCAGGTGATGAATAAGAAGAGAACAGATGACATTTGATATATATTTTTGTATATGATATACCAGTTTTTATTTCTGTATTTTTCTTCGTCACTGAACTTTATATCTCAATAATAACTTTATAATGATAACATCATCTTGTCTGACGTATAATGAATTATCACATGAAAAGAAGAACTACGACAATCCACGCTACAAGACAGCCGCTAGACCAGCGAGACTTGCAAGCAATTAAAAGTATCGGCCAAAATCATTTTCACAGATAACAACATCTATATATGCATCTATGAAAGTATGCTTTTGGTATGTTTATATTTTTTACTCACTAACAAAATGCAAACGGCGTTCTGAATATCCATGAAATATTTGTCATTGGACATCAATAACAATCAGTCAATCAATATAGGCAATACACGAAATTACCTCTTTAATAAAAATTGTCTCAAAGAAGTATGCTGCAACTAAGCAAAATCGCTTATATTTAAAAAATATTAAGGAAAACATTGATTATTTTTTACCTGCACTTCTAAGTAACTAATTTTATGGTGAAATCTATTTGTTTGTCTCTTTTTACTTTCATGTATTCATATAAATAATGATGTTAATAAAGTTTGTATTTATCAATATAGGAACAGCTGACAGCCACTTTACAATTCCGTATACAGATCAACAGACGAATTCCGGTAAGATATTATATTCTTCTCGCTTTCAACATCTTATAACCATATAAAGGCATACTCGTTATACTCCAAATATCAAGATAACGTGCAGATATATTAAGATAACTCGCACACATATCAAAATGAGTCTAAAAATTGTAAGCAAAATGCTCTGCAACACGCAAGAAAAAAAATCTGAATCATTTCATGTCATTATAACATTTGAAAGGATGGGTAGAAGTTTCTCAAATAATCAATGAAACTGATCTTATCTATGCTGGTTGGAAGAAAAAGACAGTAAAGTTATTATTTTTATGGTTAAGTTTAGTAAATTATATATAATTTAAAATCCGACACATGTGTATTACCATAATGGACTGTATCATCCCAGAAGTGGATTTGATTTTTCGCTTGTCTGATTTTATTTATCAAGAGATGAATCAAGAGACCAGATTGTCTTATAGACGTTCATCACTCAACTCTACATCAAAGGGACACATTAGTTGGTGATGCATAATTGTGTTTCACAAAGTATATTATAAGGCGTGGTAATACACATCTGCTCAGTGCTAAAAGTAATGCATTCGTATGAAGAAAATGGCCTATAAAACTAGTCTACTATAGTATACGTTTAAATAAATCACGAGTTTACAGTCCCCGTGAAGAAATGGAAAAAAATCCATCAAAAATTAATAGGCTTAATTTATTTTCTCGAATAAAGTCTTTTCCTTGAAACATTATTCACTCCCGGGAAATGTTAATTCGTCAATTCGAAATAATAACGGAGAAATGAGATTGCTATTTTCAGTGCCCGTGTGGATTATAGGATAAATATTTTGCACATTAGAGTTACAGACATATCAAGTAGATTTGTAATGTTACAGTAAATGTATGGCTTTTGAAAGTAAAACACTCGACTGGCATAGACATGCGTAAGCTTGAAGCGTCTCCATTTTATCAACTTTCATTTGACATCCATAAACATCGTATGTTTCATACAAACTGCTATAACAACATGCTGTTAACAAACAGCCAACAACAAAAAACCCGAAATAAGACATACTTATATGCAATGCATCTGAGATTTTTCATGACAAATCAATATCCCCATTAACATTTTAATTGTTCCTGGCTAATTAAACACACGTTGTAGGTATTAAATCAAATCATAAAAGAAAATACAGCAATTAAAGTGACGTTTATGATTCTGGATCAGTGTTTGACGTGCATTGATTTGAAATAAACATGAATTGAAACTGGTCATGTGTAATGCAACCTCTTTCTTTTATTTCTTCTTCTTAGTTGAAAAACTTTTTTTCTTTTATTGTTTCAGGTGATACAGTCTGGAGAGACAGCTGAACAGTTTCCAGTTTGTGCAATATTGTATTTGTTATTGTTTTTATTTTATTGTTTATTATTAAAATTTTATTACGTTTTTAAAATGCTTTCCAAATCGAGTAGGATTGTCATGGTTTGATGTGTATCATGATAAGATAGTGTAGGACATACAGTATGATTGTCATGGTTTGATGTGTTTCATGATAAGATAGTTAAGGACAAACAGTATGATTGTCATGGTTTGGTGTGTATCATAATAAGATAGTGTAGGACATACAGTATGATTGTCATGGTTTGATGTGTTTCATAATAAGATAGTGTAGGACATACAGTATGATTGTCATGGTTTGATATGTTTCATAATAAGATAGTGTAGGACATACAGTATGATTGTCATGGTTCGATGTGTATCATAATAAGATAGTGAAGGACGACATGATTTCCTATCAGGTTGAGTACTTTTATCTTGCATTTAGTGACGGCGAGCATACATTAATACTGTACAATTTGTATTTATTTTGTTTTTAAATAAAAATTGAGTATATGTGGTATGATTTTCAATGAGACAGCTATTTGCCAGAGTTCAAATGAAGTAGTAGTAAGCAATTATAGGCCACCGTACGGCATTCAACAATGAGAAAACCCATACCTTAAAGTCGGCTATGAAAGGCCCGACGTGAAAAATGACAAACTAGAAAACTGACGGTCTAATGTATATATAAAAAAGATATGACAGACACGAAGCACGAGTAACGACTGTTTTAGGCGAAAGCCATCGACAGCATTTATTCATCACAACAACAATGTCTGTCGTCCATATTAAATTATTTTGTTTTGACAATATATTATCTAGACAGTCAAATTTGGCAGGAATGATATATGCTAGGCCCTTTACAAAATTATCAATTCAATCCGATCTGAGGAACAGGCGATTCTCGGTTTATATAGACAATTTCAATACTTTGCGACTATAGATGAATGTTTTGAAACACTTCTGTATATATAAGTTATAATTGAAGTATTCCCATTTAGTATTAACCGGATGAGAAACAAAATTGTAGCAGCGGATCATATACACCATCGATTCAATTTCATTCTACTACAGTTAACGTTGATGTCATTTTATAAAAAGTAAAATTAGAACCGTTGTCACCTTCCTCCCCTTGAGGCGTGTTCCTAGACTATCCTGGATGACCTTGGCTATCACATTCTCATATTCTTTTTTAGTTCCATACCCTTTTCGCTTATAGGACACTAATATATTCGAAGGCTTTTTATGAATAGACTTCGTTTTCATTCCAAATGGATGAAGAATATGTCTGCGAGAGGAATTCTAGATTCCAATGGTCAGTTCCATAACACATCCGATACTATAAACTAGGTCAATATATCAATCAAAATACGAAATATAAGCCCTAACAACCAGCTACAAAAGGCCCCGACATAAGAAAATGTAAAACAATTCAAATTAGAAACCAAACGGTCTGATTTATGTACAAAACAACAACAACAAAAAAACAAATATGACATACAGTATAAATGCAGTAACAAACGGCAATCACTGCACGAATACACGTACGAACAAGAAAAATAAAAGACAAAGAATGAAACTAATATTGATTCTTTTCAAATTAAAAGGTTTAAGTGAAAGCGAGGCCAAGGAATGTTCAAACAAAACAAAAAAGACGAATTCAGGTGTACGTAATTTATGTATCTTTCGTAAAGATGGGTATTAAGTATAAATTGACATCTTGTGTGAACTGAATCTTATCTAAATCTGACATGAATGTAGTAACCAGTATAGGGTTAGGTTGACGGGGATAAAACATCAGGTGCGGGACTATAAAATAAGAATTTATAAACCTGCATTCAGAAATCAATTCTAATATGAACTTTTTCAAACCTGCCAATGACACTTTGTGTATTAGCTAAGAATATAACTAGAGGCTCTCAAGAGCCTGTGTCAATCACCTGTATCTACTGTGGTTTTGGAAATCATGTAAAATAAGGTTAAAATCATAATAAATAGTATTAGATACCCTAATTATGATTGAGGCCAAGTTTGATTTAATTTGGCCCAGTAGTTAAATTAAAAGCAGAAGATTTTTGAAAAAAAAATTACAAAAATTACCAATAAATTGCAGAAAATGACTTTAAAGGACAATAACTCCAATAAGATGTCAATTGAAGATTTTGGTCATGTTGACTTATTTGTAGATCCTTCTTTGCTTGATATTTTTGCTATTTACAGTATATCTCAATCTATAATGATATTCAAGATAATTAACTAAAATTGCGAAAGGATGCTGTCATGAAAGTCTCCCAAACGAACACCAATTGAATACCCCTCCTCTCCAAAATTTATTTCACCCAGGGCCTGTATAATTCTGGAAATGCCTTTAAATATTTTTGGGAACGACATTCAAAAATAATTTGGGCAAGGGGGCATTCACCCAATATAAGTATGCTGAAAGAGACGATATGATAATGGTATATAGAAAAGTTACTGAATAATTCTGAAAATGGAAAATATCAAGCAGAAATTATAAGCACCCCTCCCCCCCTGAAAAAATTGCACCCTCCCATGGAAAAAATCAAGTCATCCCATTGTAGTCTTACAATAGTTACTGAAGACCCCTTATCATTATTAAAATTAGTTTTCAAGTTGTGACCATTTAAACTTGTTTTTTTTACAATTTTCCTGTAGACTTCTATAGTAAACAACTATGTTCTATTTTTAGCCATGGTTGGCCATGTTGGTTTGATGGCAGGGTCATCGGATACAATTTTCAATCAAGATACCCTATTGAAAATTGTGGCTGAGTTTAATTCTATTTGGCCCAGTAGATTAAGTGGAGAAGATTTTTGTAAAAGATTACAAAAATTTACGAAAAATTGATAAAATTGACGATAAAGGGCAATAACTCCTGAAGGGGTCATTTGACAATTTTGGTCTAACTCTTTGTTGACTTATTTGTAGATCTTACTTTGCTGAACATTATCTCTATCCATTATAATATTAAAGGTAATAACCAAAAACTGCAAAATTTCCTTAAAATTACCAATTCAGAGGCAGCAACCCAACAACGGGTTGTATGATTCGTCTGAAAATTTCAGGGCGGATAGATTTTATCCTGATGAACATTTTTACCCCTGTCAGAATTGCTCTAAATGCTTAAATTTCAGAGATATAAACCAAAAACTGCATTTTACCCCTATGTTCTATTTTTAGCCATGTTGGTTGGCAGGCGGAGTCTTCGGACACAATTTTAAAACTTTATACCCTAATGATAATTGTGGCCAAGTTTGGTTAAATTTGGCCCAGTAGTTTCAGAGGAGAAGATTTTTGTAAAAGTGAACGGACGACGGACGACGGACGCCAAGTGATGAGAAAAGCTCACTTGGCCCATTGGGCCAGGTGAGCTAAAAATGCAATGGATTTTATTGAAATATATCTACCTTTTACTATCACTTTAAAGTTGCGATATTTTTGTTAAAATGTACCTAGAAATAAAAGCCACAATATTTGATGTTATCAAATAGACAATCGGAGATCAGAAAGAAAACAATAACGAAATGACAAACAATAAAGTCGACAAATCGCTATACAAAAAACTTAAGATTGATCAACACGTACTCAACCAAACACAGCGAGTGATCTTCGGTTCCCCGGAAGGGTAAGTTGTTCCTGGATGCTCGACTTGTCAAGACTGTTTTATTTAGTGTTACTTTATTTAGATCAATAAGTACTTTTTGTCTAAACATGCTAGGAATCATCGGATAATTCTTTTGGTAATTGGCATACATATATAAAAATAAGGAGATGTGGTATGATCGCCAATGAGACAACTATCCACAAAAGTTCAAATAAAGTGGATGTAAGCAACTTTAGGCAATCGTATAAGGCCTTCAACAATAAGAAAAAACCCATAAGGTATAGTCGGCTATAAAAGGCCCCGATATGAAAAATAGGAAACAATTCAATTGATAAAACTAACGGCCTAATTTATAACAAAACAATTTACAAAAAAAAAAAAAAATACGACGAACATGAACCAACGACAACCACTGAACTGCAGGCTCCAGACTTGGGACAGGCACATAAAGAATGTGGCGGGGTTAAACATGTTTGATCGATACAAAGGGAAAAAAACATCTAACAAAAACACAGACCGGACGTAGCAGGGTATTTATTCATCCCTAACAACAAAAAAGACACAAAGTACAGATCTGAGAATACTCGCAGTTATTGACAGCTAGTTCAAAGCCAATAACAATTTATAAAAGAAATCATGTATTTAAGACTAAAATATCAATCAGTACACATTCAACATCCAATGGATTGAATGCGAATACGTCATTAACACTCAGAGAAAAACATAACTTTGTGCAATGCCAAAATCTAGGTATCGACAGGTTGTAGTACCGTGAAAGTGTATATATATGTTTCTCTAATTCTTCGTCAATTTATCCCTTTCTGCACCTATTGTATAAAAAAAAAATTTAATCAACGTGTGGTTCGTTTGATCTCAGTTCTTCATTGGTTAAAATCCGATTATGACGTCGAATTTTCTTGCTTTCCTCTGAATTTCCTATTGTGACGGCATGAAAAAAGGAGACCATGCCTGATGACGTCACATAGAAAGAACACATCTTTTTGCAGATCATTCAAAAAGAAGGAATAAGTTTGCCTGCATATTGTTTGAAAATCATTAGAGAAACAGATTCGACCACTAAATCTCGTGTAATACGATATTTATCCACTCTCGGCAGTTAAATTTTTTTAATATTTAAAACGCTCGGCGAGCCTCGCGTTTTAAATTTGAAAATTTAACTGTCTCGAGTGGATAAATATCGTATCACACTCGATGCAGTGGTAGAATCTATATGTATAAAAATACTATTTAGTATGGTGTTGATTTACTGATAATCAATATATTTTTAACAATAAAAACAATATTCAAATATCTAATTACAGTGTTGAATTGGTAACCCGTTAGAATAAGTTTATTTAAAGGATTGATAAGTTTACCCGGATCGTATATAATTTTTCGGGCTCGGTAAACAACATCACCGTAAAATTTAGGATGTACTATTCCGTCTAAAATAAGTTTTTTACAGGTGCAGCCAATCTTGCAAACCAAATCTTTGTATCTATGGAAGAATTTAGTAAAGGTTTGAAGTAATTTGTGGTAACGAAATCCCCGACTTAATAATTAACCAGTAATACATAATAAGCTTATTGAAATCCAAAACGTTACTACAGACACGGGCATAGCGAACGAGTTGGGATAAATAAACACCGTACGACGGTGCCAAAGGAACATCACCGTCCAAAAAAGGAAAATTAATAATAGGGAGAGAAAAATCATCCCTTTTCAGTGTCGTAAATTTTTGTGTAGAGTTTGTGATGTATCTTCGATCCAGAGTTTATTGACCTTAACTGTCAGAATTAACTATGATTGTTTCTAAATTTTTAACATACTAATAAAATATTCCTCAACTCGTATAATGAAAACACGGTGTAACTTTTCGGTTGCCTTAAAAATGTATAGACCAGACATTCGTGTCTGCTGATTGTCTGTCATTCCATATTTACTCACCCACCTAGTTTTCTTCGTGAGGCATCCATAATCATTCTACGACATGGACCATAATAATGCGTGGGATCTAACAACAGGCATGCGTAAAGATATCATTTATTAAAAAGTATGGTGTGCCAGGTCAGATGAAAGGCATGGCATCTTGTGATGGATAAAACTAGATGTAATGTGAGCTATTTTCAGAACCTACCTATTATATTAATTCTTAATTGTTCTCGTCCTGAATAAGTTTGAAATATTTGCCATTGGACTTTAAGCAAGCAAGTAACAATCAAACAATCAACCAATCAGTCTGTGTGATAGTTCATATAATATAGTGTTATGCACAAACATATAAAAAGCTATCTGTAGCACACTTGACAAATTGGCTACGGAACATGTTTAAAATTTCAGGCGTTTGTCGTCATCGGGATCAAAATAAAAACAAAATTGTATCTGTTGGTGTCTTTTGTTTTTGTTTGTTTGGGTTGTTTATATACTTACTATCTTATTGGTGTATTCCCTTCATCTCCTTTTATTCATATTACAAGTTCGTGTCGTCATCATCCTTTTTGAAGCATCACACGCTCATTTGTCACTCTGTACCTGGCGGATTCGTGGGTTTAAGGACCGAAAGTTAAACATAATGCATAAGAAGATGTGGTATGAGTGCCAATGAGACAACTCTCCATCCAGATCACAATGTATAAAAAGTTAACAATTATAGGTCAAAGTACGGCCTTCAACACGGAGCCTTGGCTCACACCGAACAGCAAGCTTTAAAGGGCCGCAAAATTACTAGTGTAAAACATTTCAACAAGTCTTGTTAAGGCTAATAAAATAAATATGCACCATTTTATTATAAAGAAAGTATATACAGCTATATTTTCTATATTTTTGCTTAGTTAAAAAAGGTAAGGTGTAAAAGGACTATTAATATCAAGAGACTTAAAAAGACAATATAGTAGACACCCCAAATATATAAATCAAAGTACGCAGCTATAGGAAACTACACAAGAATTTATATGTACATGCATTTCTTATCAAGAATTGTGCGACTGTGGATGTGATTCTGACACCGACGGGTAACTACTGAAAATATAAAGAGTATCTTCTTTTCTCGTCATCAAGACACTCCCTCCATTTTCGACTTTCAAAATCTTAGGAACTGATTTAAAGTAATTATTCATAAGACAGCAACCAACAACAGAAAAGATAACCCCAAACTAATATACAATCTTTCTAACTTGGTCATTGACATCGAGTTCTTTTAATGAAACGCTGACAAGGTTCTAGACTTAACAAAAAAAAAATATACGTGCACTGGAAAAAAGACAATCCCCCATCTAAATGCTTGTCAATATTTCGAACATCAAGACTAGAAAACTGAAGCATGTATTCCAAATAGCCCAATTGCTTCAATTTGAAATAAAAAAAAATGCAAATAACAAAACAAACAAAAGAAAATAAAAACTAAACAAACAAACAAACAAAACAAACAAACAAAAACGCATCAAAACAAACAAATCAAATACAAGCAAACAAAACAAGCAAACAAAACAACAAACACAAACTTTGTTCTATATACAAAATTCGAGAAGGTGAAATAGTTTTTTTAAAATGTTCCTCTGAAAGAAGCAGCTAATAATCCTAACAACTAAGAGTGAATTAATGAATCCAACCATTGATTGGAGAAAGCAACTACGTCTGCTCATGAAAGAACTTAAAAACAAAAATCTTTGGAGGAATGTTACATAAAGGTAAAACATCTTTCACTACCTAATACACATTGCCTTCCAGTGGCATTTAACACTTTCCCATTTTAAGTCATATGTTGAGACATCTGCGAAATCTCAGGCACGTGCATGGGATACTTTTATTTTCATACTAGAAACGACAAAAGAAAAACATGTCCCTCATTTAGTATAATCATAGATGACATAATTCTCGACCTTCTAAAGACAAGATTAAACCGATTACCTCCCACTAACCATCCTCGCAGCTGGCAAAAATTTAATAATTCATGAAATCTTTTCAAGAGTTTTGAGAGGAAAATTATCTTATCTTTCATATAGTCACGCTATCATGAAACAAAATATGCATTTTATTGAATGAACACTTTTTATTTTTAACAATTTAAAGAAGTAATCGACCATTAAATAATGTCTGATATATTCACTTTTAATGTGAACTTTTCATGCAAACCATTGTGTAATCAAATAGATGGGAGTTATTAGATATGTGTTATGTAATGGAATACTATGATTTGTCGAAGAAAAACACTCAGTTATGAAAAGTAATATCCGACATCATTAAAAAATAGTTGTCAGTGGAAATTATATGTTAAGAGGGTCGAAATGATATCTTAGGAACACACATTTAGGTATCGTTTTATTTGGTTTTATTGTCTTATCGGGTTGCTTTACCCATTTCTCACTTTATAGATAATAAATGTTAACCAAATATTCCCCGTAAAAATGGTTTCAACATAATACCAGTATATACAAACCTGACAACGAGACGCTATTGCAAGGACACATTAGATCACAAAAAGTTTTATTGCTTTTCTAGATTTAACTTCATCAGGAACGTTCATACAAAAATAGTTGAGAATCAAAGATGTATAACTATACGAACATAACAATACAATAACCATTACTGAGCTGATAATACATTCGGTAGCTTTTTCGTTCCTATTGAGTAAAGCTTTATTCGGTGAAGGGAATCCGTTTTGGGATGTATAAATACACACACACAGCATCCCACCAGAAACCTAAAATAAGCATTAAGAAGTTGTTTGCCAGTTAATTGCGGTACAAATAAGATAAACAGCTGTACAAGGGACGCAAGATACGCTCGTCTTATGCATATTGAAAATGTTGAAAGAATAAAAGGGAAAACTATAGAAGGCATGTAATTTGAAGCCAGGAAAGCGGTCCTGTAGAACAACTTGCAGAAGAAGAAAATCCTAAAGCGTATTACAATTGCCTTAAATTTTTCTGTTGATCTGGAAAGGCAAATCCTAATATCTTCAAAATCAAAAGGGAACTTGCATTTACCAATACCAACAACACTGTCAAGTCTGATGTATAATTTGATTCAAAGATTCTGAATGCGAAAGCTAATGCGCGACAAGTAAACAATTTATGTAAATCTGACAGTTAAAGTCGTTACACTCTCGACTGGATCGACAAACCAGTAAATTTTCAAAATCGAAAGATAGCTTACTTCTAATATTAATCCTAAACGACAACGTACAAATTTTATAATACACAAGGCTTATAATTTAGTCACCAGACGCGCGTTTCGTGTACGTAAGACTCATCAGTGACGCTCGAATCGAAACATTTGGAAGGCCAAATCAAAAACGAGGTTGAAATAATTAAAAACCGAAGATTCCAAACGATTGTTCCAGATAAGGCTAAGGCAATCTATACCTCGGGTAGAAGGACCTTAATGTTTCGAATAAGTCAACACTTTATAAACAGTAGTTTTACAGAAAAAAATAACCTATCAATGATATATCAAGTGTTTAGTAATTCAAACCAAGCATACTTGATATAGTGGTCCAACAGTAACAAAACGACAAATCGATAAAACTAACCAGTTATAATCAAATTGAACTTTCCTCTACTAAATCAAATATTGCATACAAGTTTCATAAAATCTTATCAAAGCATATTCTTGGTTTAGTACGACTAGTTGACGGACGAACGTGAATTTACCAATCAATCAATCACTCAATCTAACCGATCAATCAATTAATCACAACTATCAACAATTATTGAATTGAATAAGTGTATAATCTACCAAAAATATACAAGAGAAAAAAAATTGATGTGCAAGTTTACGTAAATAAATCTAGAGCCTCTATCAAAAGTTAACCACAAAATACGAATGACTGTGCAGTTTATATGAATAGCGTATCCTATTGGTACATGCTTGATGCACATGAATTGGTGTCGTGTATCCTATAGTATCGTTGGTAATACTGTAACATAATATTGTATATTTCAACTATTTATCAAAAACTTTTTGTACTTAAAAAAGTAATGAAATTCTTTTCTGAAATCGAAGATCACCCACATGCAGACGCACACACTCTGTTGTGATTGAAGCATTTAATGAAAATATTCGCAACAAGTAAGTTGTCTGTTAATTTAATATATTTTTCATTTTATAATGAATTGATATGATAGTAATCTTTACCATTGTAACATATACATTTCAAATAAGATATATTTATTTTGTTTAAAGTGCTTATAGACGAAAACTTGAGTTTCCTTTCATCAAGAGTTTGTAGCAGGTGATATTATAGCATTCTACGGGAAAACACAACTTCTATGGTGAAAATACATAACCATATTGATAATCAGTTGATAGACGGTTTTGACTGTTCTGTTGAGCAGTTGAAAGACAAGTTTGACTGTCCTGTGTAGTTGTTGATTGAGTAGTTGGCAAACGGTTTTGACTCTACTGTGGTGTTGTTGACAGGCATGTTTGGCTGTCCTGTGGAGTTGTTGATTGAGTAGTTGACATACGGTTTTGACTGTCCTGTGGTGTTATTGACAGATGTGTAGGCCGTACTGTTGATAAGTTGAACGACGGATTTGAATGTTATGTGGATCGCGTTTCTGACAGACGGTTTTGACTGTCCCGTTGGGCAATCGACAGATGTTTTTAACTGTTATTTGATCGACTATTTGAAAGACGGTTTTGACTGTCCCGTTGAGCAGTTGACAGACGGTTTTTACTATCTTTTGATCAAATATTTGACAGACGATTTTTACTGTAATTTGATCAAATATTTGACAGACGGTTTGACTGACCAGTTGAGCAGTTGACAGACGGTTTTGACTATTGTTCTGTTGGGCAGTTGATAGACAGTTTTTACTGTCATTTGATCGAATATTTGACAGACGGTGTTGACTGTCCCGATAGGCAGTTGATAAAAAAGGAGATGTGATATGATTGCCAATGAGACAATTATCCACCAAAGTTCAAATGAAGTATATGTAAGCAATTATAGGCAACCGTATGGCCTTCAACAATGAGAAAAACCCATACCGTATAGTCGGCTATATATAAGGCCCCGACATGAAAAATATGGAACAGTTCAATTGAGAAACCTAACGGCCTAATTTATAACAAAACAATTTACGAAAAACGTATATGACAGACATGAACAAACAACAACCACTGAACTTCAAGCTCCAGACTTGGGACAGGCACATATGGAATGTTTAACTAGTTTGCTGGCGATCAACCCTCCGCCTAACCTGGGACAGTGGTGTAACAGTACAACATAAGAACAAACTATAGAAATCAATTGAAAAGGGCCTCACTCATCAGACTGATACAAAGCAGAAAACATCGACCGAAAACACAGATCGGACGTGGTAGCGTGTCTATAATACATCCCACAACAACAAAGACTCTAAGTAAAAATCTGAGAGTATACTCGCAGTTACTGACAGCTAGTTCAAAGTCAATAACAACTAAAACAATCATGTATCTAAGACTAAAATATCAATCAGTGCACATCCAACATTAAATGGATTTAGTGTAAAGACACCATTAACAGTCAGAAAAAACACGACCTACATGATAGACGGTTTTGACTGTCCTGTTGAATACTTAAATGACGGACGGTTTTGACTGTCCCGTTGAATAGTTAACATACAATCGTTATTGTCCTGTTGAGTAATTGACAGACTGTTATGACAGTCCCGTTGAGTAGTTAAATGACGATTTTTGTTGTCAAATTGAGTAGTCAACAAACAGTTTGGACTGTCCTGTTGAGTAGTTTAAAGACGATTTTGACTTTCCCATTGAAGAGTTAACATACAATCTTTATTGTCCTGTTGAGTAATTGACAGACGGTTTTGACAGTCCTGTTGAGTCCCTTTAGAGTCTTGTTGCTGAAAAACGTTGTGTATAGATGACTGTCTTAACTTCGGGTTAGAGCGTATCAAATGAAGCTTATACCAACAACACGTGTAAATAAATGAATATTTAACAATCCATCTTTCGCTTAATTCCTGTCTGCAACAACCCATAAGATCGGTGCATTTAAAAAACATATCAAAATAGTTTTCCAGCAGTGAATTTGTTCCATCCTTTAGCTAAGTCATTTATTATTAAATTATTGCTATATAAATGTATATATCGTATAAATAATCCCCTTGGCATGTTTCGTCAAGAAAGAGCCTTATTACAAACACAGCATTTATGTTGTGAAAAAATACCACAGCAACATGTTTGGTTGAAACGATTGTATTATTTAATATATGTTCCACCATTAGACAAAAACTCACTATTGCATTGGCACAAAACTCTCTCAGATATGGAAACAAAATACCGGAAATAAACAATTAATGCATGAATAGATGACCAAAAACAATTAATGCATGAATAGATGAACAAAAACAATTAATGCATGAATAGACGACCAAAAACAATTAATGCATGAATAGACGACCAAAACCAATTAATGCATGAATAGATGACCAAAAACAATAATAAAAACCAACAAAAACCTAATAGACTATGAATACAATTGACTAAATATTGCAACTTTCCATGATCACCAACGGAGTAAATCTTTTTATTCGTAATTTTCATGAACAACACATGAATACCTTTATATGGTCCATGAACAGACTTGTATTTTGGATCGCTTGACTCCTCGTCAGAAAAGTTCGTCGCATTATAGACTTTTTGCGAGGACGCAACATAAACAGTTATCAAGCAATCTATTAAAGCAGTCGTCCAACACATTTTTTTCATGAACCCAATTTATCCGTATATCATTACTTTATTTCAGAATATCTTGTTCTTAATTAAATCCTATAAAAGGTAGCATATAAGCTTTTGATCTGATTACGTTAAACTTATTGATATTCTACAATAAACACTTGATAATTTTACTATAAAATAAATTCCCTTCCCGCCGAGACTTCAGCGGGACTTTCACACGTTAACTCCACATGAATTGTGGGATTAGACAATAGAAAGTCACCCGATTATAAATCAAAACTGCTTATAATCCATTTCTATTTAAATCCTAATTGGCTTAATCAAAAGTCGAGATTATTTTGTCAAAATACGCTCAACGTCCTAAAGGTGGGATTTTCTATATTTTATAAAGAAACTTTAGGACATTATTTGGTCTGCATTAATAGTAAAAACGTAATACTGAAAGTTTTAATCCTTTATACGTAAGATGAATTTGCATATTTAAATCGAATTTGTTCTGGACGAGAGTGAATTTACAATTTGGTCAATATGCATGTTCTGCAAGGAAAGGATCTATTGGAATGCAGGGCGTAAAATTCCGACAGCCGCTGTAAAATAAGAGTATATTGAATAGGGGCAAACACTCTCATTGCAAAAGGCCACATACGGACCCTCAGAGATTTGTTACAAGTTCTTTAACGTACAGAGAGCGTGGCACTTTCTCTACAAAGATTGAGCTTCAGATTTAACCCCTCCTTTTCTTTGAAAAATGCATGTATCAAGTCAGGTATATAACAGTTATTTTCCATTAGATCCGTGGGTTGAAAAAGTCAAACGGTTGATTTTGTCAGTTTTTATGCACTGCCCCCATTTTGACTCCCCCCCCCCCCCCCTGTGTTCATTTAGTATAATTTACATCGCCCCTGGTTATCTTAGTATAACAGTATTGTATCTGGGTGTTTAAGTCTAACAACAACGTCCAAGCTTATCTCACAGCACCGACACATCCTTTCTAACAACATTGTCTATTGTTGTCTAACATCATCGTCCTTTTTGCAATAAAGCATCAACGATTGCTGTCTAACACAATAGTCCTTCTTCCTGGTTGTCTAACAGATTTGTCCCTTGTTGCATAGAAGCATCGTCTCTTCTTTCCTACCAACATTGTCCTCCTATTGTTTAACAGAATCGTCCTTTGTTAACCAAACGCTTCCTGCCATCGTGCTACCATAGTCTAAAGGTATCGTCCCAGCATATAGTGTTTATTGGAAAAAAGGGTCTATCATTATATTCTGTTGACATCGTGTTGTCGAAAAACATAGTTTCCTGTTGTATAAATACCTATACTGTTGTCTTCGTCTAACTTAAGTGTCTCTTGTTGTCTTACAGCATCACCCCTTGTTGTCTTACAACACCGTCCAATCGCGTGTAGAAGCATCGTCTGTTGTTGCTTACCAACATCGCCCCTTGTTGTCTGACAGCATTGCCCCTTGTTGTCTCTTCTAATAGAATCGTCCCTTGTTGTCTGACAGCATTGTCCCTTGTTTTCTAATAGCATCGTCCCTTGTCTGACAGCATCGTCCCCTGTTGTCTGACAGCATTGTCCCTTGTTATCTGAGAGCATCGTCCAATGTTGAATGACAGCATTACCCCTTGTTGTCTTGTCTAATAGAATCGTCCCTAACAACATCGTTCATTCGTTTCTAATAGCTTCGTTCATTCTTGTCTGACAGCGTATTATCTGGTTGTCTAACAGCGTCCATCTTGTTGTCTACTTCTTGTCACAGAATCATTACTACTTGATTACAGCACCGTCAAATCTTGTGGAACATAATCGTTCCTTGTCTAACAGCATCTTACATTCTTTTTTAACAGAATTACCCCTTTGATGTCTAAGAGCATCGTCCCTGATTGTCCAACAACCATCGTAAATTACTTTATATCAATCTTTACTCGTTGTAATACATCATCTTCTCTGGTTGTCTTAGCCGATATTATTTTCCTTCTGTCCTACAGCTATACCAATAAATGTCAAACATTTAATATTTTTAACTAAACCGACCTTTGTTGTATAACAGCATAATCACATGTTCTAAATCAGCATCTCGGCTAGATGTCTTAGTTTAGTACATCTCCCCTAGATGTCTTAGTTTAGTACATCTCCACTAGATGTCTTAGTTTAGTACATCTCCCCTAGATGTCTTAGTTTAGTACATCTCCCCTAGATGTCTTAGTTTAGTACATCTCCCCTAGATGTCTTAGTTTAGTACATCTCCCTAAATCGTGTTGTCTTACAGCATAGTACTTCTACTCTTAATCTATAGCAGTATATAGTCTCTTTCTGTCTTACAGCATCGTACTTTTACTCTTAATCTATAGCAGTATATAGTCTCTTTCTGTCTGAC